TTAAAAAACTAATCTTTATTTCATGATGGAATAACCTTTGGATGGTAATATATTTTCCTCAAAAAGCATTTTATTTAAAAAAATCTGATTTAAATAAAAATCCGATTTAAATGAAAAAAATAAAAATCCGATTTTTTTTTTTTTTTTTTTTTTTTTTTTTTTTTTTTTTTTTTTTTATCATTGATTTTTATCCACCCTGGTCACAACGAATATAAACATCCACTGTGACAACAATAAACACGTGACAGGTATTTTATGAGACCCTAAATCCCTCCTCTGCCCTTGGAACAATTCAGAACCCCAAGATCACTATTTTTGAATGCTTTCAGATCTTTAAAAATGGCGCCGAGATGGCAGGTCATCGCTTCCGGTTTTCAATAAAGGAGAGCCTATCCAAGCGGATTCTGGCTTTGGCTGTCTGGCCAGCCGGCGGATGCGCTGGCTGGTTGCTTGGGACTCCTGGTGGGAAGGGAGATCTGGAGGGGGGGGGGGGGTGTTGCGTCCCATCCCAGTGCTTGTACAAGCAATCAAGCGTCTAGTAGCTGGTCCAATTGTTTGTACAAGAGAGCCAACCACCAGCTGTAAAAAAAACAGTACCGAGGTGATGCCTTCAGCGCACAACCACTGAAATTCCAGCAACATACGGGTACATCTGTGGCCCGGAAGTGGTTAAAGCTGATGTTTAATGTATTATTATTTATTTCAGGTACTTATATAGCGCCATCAATTTACGCCGCGCTTTACATATATATTGTACATTCACATCAGTCCCTAACCCTCAAGGGGCGTACAATCTAAGGTCCCTAACTCACATTCATACATACACATACTAGGGACAATTTAGACAGGAGCCAATTAACCTACCAGCATGTCTTTGGAGTGTGGGAGGAAACCAGAGTACCCGGAGGAAACCCACGCAGGCACAGGGGAGAACATACAAACTCCAGGCAGGTGGTGCCGAGGCTGGGATTCGAACCAACGACCCCAGTACTGCCAGGCGGGAAGTGCTATCCATTTAGCCACTGTGCTGCCCAATGTATGTGTGTATCTATATACCTGCCAGCAGTGATCATTGTGTTCTGCTGGCAGGTAAGGCTTTCCGCTGGCAGAGCACAATAGCAGTGGGGGAATCGAGCACTTTTCTTTCTTTCCACCCTTTATGGCGCTGTATCCCAAGAATAATTATACCGAACTTCAGCTTTGCTTTAACTGTAGTCACACTGATGGTCTTCATCTATAGGCTGCCTACGTTTTGACAAAGATTGCTGCTGAAATCTGAGATGTGCTGGAATCCACAATGGTGCATGAAGGGCCATTTATATTGTAAAGCGCTGAGCAAACTGTTGGCGCTATGTAAATCCTGTACTATAATAATTTACATAGTTTGGCTGAAAAAAGACAAAAGTCCATCCAGTTCAACCATTAATAAAACAAAACAAAAAGTTATAATCCTACACCCACAGTTAATCCAGAGGAAGGCAAAAAAAAACCAGCAAAGCACGATCCAATTTTCTCCTACAGGGAAAAAATATTCCTTCCTGATCCCCCGAGAGGCAATCGGATATTCCCTGGATCAACAATTTACATGTTAGAGGAGCTTTGTGTTCAGGCCGGCCATTCATTTTCAGTGGACTATTGGCACAAAACCATGAAGCCAAAACTGACCTCACCCTTTTTTTGCAATGCAGGGCACCAGCATGTGACTTGTTTGCTTAGTCCTGTGTTAGCGAGTTGGGGTGCCAATGAATGAATAAGACCACAACACTGCACTGCCATACTCATTTTACTGTGCTTTGCGGCAAATCGCACAATGCATTCGTATCGATAGGCCCTAAGGGGAGCCCCCATATTTCAGCGAGGCATCTAATTATAATCTCAATGTCCCAAAGACCATTGTTACTGCGGATAGAAGGAATTTCCCAGATGGTGATAGAAACCTAACAGGGGCTGTAACTCTCCCCCATTTTATCGCAAAACAGAAAATGATTTATCTGGAGTTCCACTCTGACTTCACCCCTGACACAGTTCCATGTGTTGGGTGTCAGGTTCCCTGCTGGGAGTTGTGGTTCCTTCCACAGTAATGATGCAGTGGTAAACAGAACCACAGTGTGAGAACAAGAGGGTGCAGATGGCCATCCGGTGTGGGTGCAGGAGGGTGCACACAGGAAGCTAGAGAGGGTTCCCACGGCCAGCCAGTGGGGGTGCAGGAGGGTGCCCACACCAGCCAGTGGGGGTGCAGGAGGGTGCCCACAGCCAGCCAGTGGGGGTGCAGGAGGGTGAACACAGGCCGAGGAGGGGGTGCAGGAGGGTGGACACAGCCAACCAGTGGGGGTGCAGGAGGGTGGACACAGCCAACCAGTGGGGGTGCAGGAGGGTGGACACAGCCAGCCAGTGGGGGTGCAGGTGGGGTGGACACAGCCAGCCAGTGGGGGTGCAGGAGGGTGGACACAGCCAGCCAGTGGGGGTGCAGGAGGGTGGACACAGCCAGCCAGTGGGGGTGCAGGAGGGTTCACAGAGCCAGCCCAGTGGGGGTGCAGGAGGGTGCACAGCCAGCCAGAAGGGGGTGCAGGAGGGTGCACAGAGCCAGCCAGAGGGCTTGCAGGAGGGTGAACACAGCCAGCCAGAGGGGGTGCAGGAGGGTGCACAGAGCCAGCCAGAGGGGGTGCAGGAAGGGTGCACAGAACCAGCCAGTGGGGGTGCAGGAGGGTGCACAGAGCCAGCCAGTGGGGGTGCAGGAGGGTGCACAGAGCCAGCCAGTGGGGGTGCAGGAGGGTGCACAGAGCCACCAGTGGGGGTGCAGGAGGGTGCACAGAGCCAGCCAGTGGGGGGTGCAGGAGGGTGCACACAGGTAGCCAGTGGGGGTGCAGTAGGGTGCAAACAGACAGGGTGCAGGACGGTGTGCACAGGCAGCCTGTGGGGGGGGGGTGCAGGAGGGTGCGCACAGGCAAACAGACAGTGCAGGGGAGTGCACACAGCCAACACTCCTGTAGAACTTGCTGATTCTTCAGGTGGCCATAATGCTTGAACAGCGCAAATACAGTCATGGCCGAAATTGTTGGCACCCTTGATATTTTTCCTGAAAATCAAGTATTTCACACAAAAAAGGTATTGCATTAACACATAGTTTTTGCTATACACATGTTTATTCCCTTTGTATGTATTGGAACAAATATAAAACAGAGGCAGAAAAGCAAATATGACATAATGTCACAAAAACCCCAAAAATGGGCTGGACAAAAGTATTGGCACCCTTAACTTAATATTTTGGTTGCACACCCTTTGGAAAACATAACTGAAATCAGTCGCTTCCTATAACCATCAATAAGCTTTCTGACACCTCTCACCCGGAATTTTGGACCACTCTTCCTTTGCAAAACAGCTCCAGGTCTCTCTTATTGGAAGGACACCTTTTCCCAACAGCAATTTTAAGATCTCTCCACAGGTGTTCAATGGGATTTAGATCTGGGCTCATTGCTGGCCACTTCAGAACTCTCCAGCGCTTCTTTGCCATCCATTTCTGAGTGCTTTTTGACGTATGTTTGGGGTCATTGTCCTGCTGGAAGACCCAGGATCTTGGACGCAAACCAGCTTTCTGACACTGGGCCCTACAGTGCGACCCAAAATCCTTTGGTAATCCTCAGATTTCATGATGCCTTGCACACAGTCAAGGCACCCAGTGCCAGAGGCAGCAAAACAACCCCAAAACATCATTGAACCTCCACCATATTTTACCGTAGGTACTGTGTTTTTTGTTCTTTGTAGGCCTCATTCCGTTTTCGGTAAACAGTAGAATGATGTGCTTTACCGAAAAGCTCTATCTTGGTCTCATCTGTCCACAAGACGTTTTCCCAGAAGGCTTTTGGCTTACTCAAGTACATTTTGGCAAACTGTAGTCTTGCTTTTTATGTCTCTGTGTCAGCAGTGGGGTCCTCCTGGGTCTCCTGCCATAGCGTTTCATTTCATTTAAATGTCGACGGATAGTTCGCGCTGACACTGATGCTCCCTGAGCCTGCAGGACAGCTGAATGTCTTTGGAACATGTTTGGGGGGCTGCTTATCCACCATCCGGACTATTCTGCGTTGCAATCTTTCATCAATTTTCCTCATCCGTCCACGACCAGGGAGATTAGCTACAGTGCCATGGGTTGCAAACTTCTTGATAATGTTGCGCACTGTGGACAAAGGCAAATCTAGTTCTCTGGAGATGGACTTGTAACCTTGAGATTGTTGATATTTTGCCACAATTTTGGTTCTCAGGTCCTCAGACAGTTCTCGTCTCCTCTTTCTGTTGTCCATGCTTAGTGTGGCACAGACAGACACACAATGCAAAGGTTAAGTGAACGTCTCTCCTTTTTATCTGCTTTCAGGTGTGATTTCTATATTGCCCACACCTGTTACTTGCCCCAGGTGAGTTTACAGGAGCATCACATGCTTGTAACATTCTTATTTATCCGCAGTTGTGAAGGGTGCCAATACTTTTGTCCAGCCCATTTTTGGAGGTTTGTGTGACATTATGTCGAATTTGCTTTCTTTCCTCCCTTTTTTTGTTTTGTCCCAATACACACAAAGGGAATAAACATGTGTATAGCAAAACATGTGTTAATGCAATACGTTTCGTGAGAAATACATGATTTCCTGGAGAAATATAATCAAGGGTGCCAACAATTTCGGCCATGACTGTATCTTTTTTATTTATTTTTTTATTTTTTGCTAATTCTTTGTAAAAGCTTGTTGTATTCCCTGCCCCTATATAGACATAACCCTGTGAGTACACGTCCTTATACATTATATATCTGTTAACGTCAAGATCCTGATTGCTTCTAGGAAAAACATTTACACTTGGAAATTACATTTACTCTTGAACATTCTTTGTCTGTCACTGCTATACAGTATTTCGGAAAACCGAGATCTATTGGTCCCGTGTTCTAATCTGTATGCTGCACATTCTGTGTGGATAGAACACTTTAAGTGAAACTAACTTTTTTCTACACATCATTACAGGAACGGGAACTAAAAGCTGCTGCTGACAGTGTGCTTGGGGAGGTGAGGAGAAAACAAGCCGATACCAAAAAAATGCTGGATATGCTGAAATCCTTGGAAAAGTTGAGAAAGCTGAGAAAAGAGGCTGCTGCAAGGAAAGGTGAGAAGTGTGTGTGTATGTATATATGTGTAATGTATGTGTGTGTATGTATATATGTGTGTATGTGTGTGTGTGTGTATGTATGTGTGTGTATGTATATATGTGTGTATGTATATGTGTATTGTATGTGTGTGTGTGTATGTATGTGTGTGTATGTATATGTGTATTGTATGTGTGTGTGTGTATGTATGTGTGTGTATGTATATATGTGTGTATGTATATGTGTATTGTATGTGTGTGTGTATGTATATGTGTATTGTATGTATGTGTGTGTGTATGTATGTGTGTGTGTATGTATATATATATCAGCAGTTTTTAAAGTGGTATTATACACAAAACCAAAAATGTATCAAATTGCAGTTTACCAATTCTTATGCAGGCTATAGACGGGTAACGAAAAATCAGTTGTTCGATCGGCCGACGTTACCACTGACAGTAAAAAAAAAAATCGGCTGATTTTCATCCCATATACGGCCGGCATTTAATTACTTCTGTCCGTTGCAGAGAGTTTTGCTATCATATTTGACATGAAAAAGTATTGCGGTTGCAGCAATGTATCCATTTCGGATACAGATGTTTTTATTCAGATACAAATAGATACATTGTTGCAACTACAAGACTTTTCATATAAAATATAATAGCGGACCGGAATTATTCCTCCTCCTCCTCCTCCCCCCCCCCCCCCCCCCCCTTTGTTAGTCAAGTCAATCTAAATGCTGGTCCATGTAACACTCCCCTCCCCCCCAATTTACAATTCTGCTGTCCAAGGGTGTCTGGTGCTCCTCCATCCAGTGTGTTCGTGGTGGATCACCAGGTGAAAAATCTAAGGAAATAAATAAAACCTAAAAATATGAAAACTATTGCAGTCGCCACATGTAAGGATTGGTAAAACTGCAACAAATTACATTTTTGATTTTGGGTTTAAATGCTGCATTAAAGGATAAGTTCACCTTTGGGAATATGTTGCATGTTCCCCCTGTATTTAGAAGTTCCCTGTACTAGCTGGGTCTTTTTAAAAACAGCGCGGCCATGCAAGGCTCCGCCCACACAGGCACGTTGTTAATTGACAGAGTTCTGTGAATGAATGAACTACAAGTCTCAGTATCCTTAGCGGCTGCCAGCTTGCGGTTCTCAATGTTTATTGAAGCTTCCTGTCAGTATATCTGCTTGCAGGTACATCCCGTATGAGCAAGCAGATATATCGACAGGTCTGCAGGGGCCTTGCACGGCACCAGAGATCCACTGACTGCTGGCACAATGCTTTACAGGTTCCTGCAACCAAAAATAATAAATGCACATTTTTTTTAACCTGGGAAAAAATTTACATTTTATTATTTTTGGTCAAAAGGTGATCTTCTCCTTTAGCCAGTTGCCACAGTGTGGTTGTGTTGCCTTAGGAGGCTACCTTTTTTTCTTTTTGATTTCACTTTTTCTTGTTTTGTTTTGCAAACCTTTCACCGCTGTTTTGGCTCCTCCCTGTTCTATGGATTATTTGTGCTCATCATAATAACATCTTTCCCTTCTATACTGTAATGTTTACAAAATATATCCCATCTCCCACCCATCATCCTTTAAAAGCAGACAGGTGTTATAGCTGGTTTGAGTTTCATTCAATGCAGGCCGATCAGAGGGAGGAATGGGGCCCCATCATCGGTGTCGGTGGGAGGAATGGGGCCCCATCATTGGTGTCGGTGGGAAGAATGGCGCCCCATCATTGGTGTCGGTGGGAAGAATGGCGCCCCATCATTGGTGTCGGTGGGAGGAATGGCGCCCCATCATTGGTGTCGGTGGGAGGAATGGCGCCCCATCATTGGTGTCGGTGGGAGGAATAGTGCCCCATCATTGGTGTCGGTGGGAGGAATGGCGCCCCATCATTGGTGTCGGTGGGAGGAATGGCGCCCCATCATTGGTGTCGGTGGGGAATGGCGCCCCATCATTGGTGTCGGTGGGAGGAATGGCGCCCCATCAATGGTGTCGGTGGGAGGAATGGCGCCTCCTATCACTAAAAAGAATAGTGCCTCAAGGGCTTGACAAAGTCAAGCAAAGGGCCACATTCGGCCCACAAGCCACACTTTGGAGACCCCTGGTATAGCAGGTCAAAAATATCTCCTGAGTATTTTAGCTTGTAATGTGCCTCCTTTTGTCATTCCCAAAATGAATACTAAAGCCGGCCATAAACGGGTCGAATTCCGAAAGAATTTTCTTTCGAAAATCTTTTCTAGGAATTTTCGTTTGATTTTCGCACCATTAGTGGGTCACAGAAATGGCCAATTTTTGTGACCAGTGATCGGGCATGTTGGAAATTTTTTGAAAGATAAATGAATTTCGAATCAATGATGGGAGAATCATACGGGAAATATAAATGAAAAAGAAATGAACATATGCTGTGACCTGGAAAGAAAAGAAAATTCTTGGCCATGAAAATTCTTTTCTGTAGCAAACAGGAGGTGAAATTAAAGGCTTGGTCGGTTGAATTTCAATATCAGTGGTGGCGCCATCAGATTACAAAAGCACAAACTTTTCTAATGAAAATGTGTTCGAAATGTAACGGAACCGACCCCAGACCGCGCTTGAGTATTTCCGTTTCGCTTCCCCGTTTGAACACCGACCACAGACACCACAGCTGACCAAACAAGAGTAGACAACACCTGTCTGTCTGAACATGGAACTCTTCATTTAAACTCGAACTGGCTTTCTATACACTCAGGTTACAATCCCCCCTCCATAATGACACAGGGTGGGGCAATCTACATTTAGTAACAAGAGACACACCAACAGACAGTCCCATCAGGAGGGAGGGCTGCTGCTGGAGACTGCTCGGAGACCCCCCCCCCCCCCCCCCCCCCCCTCCATGAAGCCAATACACATAAACGCATACATCCCATAATAGTTTGCTCCTAAGCAAGACACGCAATAGAACGATGGGATGCAACCACATGGCATTAAACAATCGACAAAACCCCAACCCAATATTAGGACAGATCACCCTGTACCCCTAACAGGCACAGGGTGACTTACACATAATAGGGATATGGGGAGGTGAGACAGGGGTCTCCCCACCTCTCCAAAGTGAGCTTGGTTCCATGGGCCCCCCTACCCAAAGTGACTCCCGTCACAAATGTGTTCGAAATTCGACCCATGTATGGCCTACATAACTGCTGCTGGGCGTCAGCAACTTGTGGCCAATGTCAACAGCCCCTGCTGCCACGCATCTGTCCTTTTACAATCACTTTAGAAAGTTTATACCCAGTGTACAGCTGACTGATATGAAGAACTGGTAGTCAGGCCAAATCTAGCTGTAAACAAAGAGGGGATAATGTAGATGGAACCTTGTATCACAGAGCACATTTACAGACATGCAAACGACTTGTTCACAAAAGTAATGGGACTGCTGCACATCCTTCTGATTCTGAAGGACTCTGTTCTTGGCAGTGGCTTTTTCTGGGCTGTATGTTAATCCCCCATATTCCACGTGTCTTGTGTTTTTATACATATATTTGTGTGTGCGTGTGTGTGTGTGTGTGTGTGTGTGTGTGTCAGAACTGACACTCGCTCCATGATGAGTATGAGGTTTTAGGAACAGTTATTACATAATGTTGGCTGTTTTTGCTCATTTTTCAGGTGTCAGTCCTCCACCTAGTGCCGATGAAACATTCAAGAATCACATATCCAGGCTCCGCAGGTTGGTCCACAAACGTGTCGCCCTGTATGATGCGGAGGAGAGGGCCCTCAGGGTCATTCTGGAGGGAGAGCAGGAAGAAGAGAGACAACGGGAGAAAGACAAGAGGCTGAAAAAACAGAGAGAGAAATTTTTCCAAAAGCAGCGAGAACTTGATTCCGTATTGTTCGGAGATGATGGTACGGGCAGGTTTTCTTCTAACAGTCCTAGATCTTACCTGTATATTCCCGTGGCCCTCAGCCCTCTTTGTTCTGACGTAGTACTTCCTTTCATACTTTGCTTTTATCATTTTCCTTTTCTTTTTTCCCCCTCACATTTAGTAAGGGCTTGTTCACACCAGTGGCTGGGTTATACAGCGAGTGCTGTGGTGCACCATCAAGAGAGCAGTGCCAGTTTGTTGTAAATAACACATTGCATGGTTTCCCTTTTTTTTTTTTTTTTTTTTTTTTTTTTTTTTAAGTTTCATCTTTATTAACCACTTCGGGCTAGTGGTACACCTAAATGAAAATTCTGGTACCAAAAATTCAGGATGCACTTGGCTGAAAACTGAAATGGGCAGTTTTTTTTAAAAATTAATATATATTTTTGGAAAAAATACACTTTTTAATGATGAAAAAAACACAATATATATACCCCAAATTTTTGGAAAATATGAAAGCGGATGTTACTCAACATGTCATGCTTTAAAGTTGCACACGCTCGTGGAATGGCGTCAAACTATGGTACTTAAAACAAAGTCTCCATGGGTCACGCTTTAAAATTTTCTACAGGTTAGCAGTGTTAAGTTACAGAGGAGGTCTAGTGCGAGAATTTTTGCTCTTGCTCCGACGTTCCTCACGTGTGGTTTGAACATTGCTTACGTATGTGGGCGTGGCCTACGTATGTGTTCACCACTATGTGGGGGGACGGGGGCACTTTAATCTTTTTTTTGTTGGTTTTTTTTTTTGTTTTTTGCACTGTCCCTTTTAAAAAAAAATTTGTAATCACTTTTATTCCTATCACAAGGAATGCATGCATCTCTTGTGATAGAAATAATAACAGGTCCTGTTTATGGAGAGATATGGGTCAATAAGACCCCACATCTCTCCTAGAGTGTAAAGCATTACATCAAAAAAAGCATTGATCTAGGGCTTTACAAGGCGCTGGAATCGGATGTGACATCGCTCTGGTCCTCCAAAGGTATAGAGATGAGTGGAGGCCATCTTTCCTTCTCTAATCTCTATGCCCAGCACCAGGATTGTTTGGTAGCTCTCAGCCTTACCTGAGAAACTATTGAGTGGGAGGGGGGCGGGTGTGAGAGGGGCAGCAGCGAGGGGGCAGGGTTTTTTTCGGCACCTGTATCGGTGCTTTTTTTTTTTTTTTTTTTCATAACAGCCGATAGGCGTGTTTTATGCAGAAATGTTTCGGCCACTGAAATTTCGGTGCACCCCTGCCTTCAGGTGCAGGTATCGTTCCAGTATAACCACTCCTGGGACATCCTATGACATCCACCTGGGTAAAGTGGTTAACATGTCATAAAGTGACATTTCATTAAAGTAGAATTCATCCTAAACCTAACTTGTCTTAAAAATGTCCCCCCTCCTAACATCTATGCTGACTAACCTGTTAGAAAGATGTATATACTTACCTATTTTCAGCCTGCTCTGATCTAGTCGTATGATCTGACTCCCCTGTATCAGCCAGCGGCTGCTGCAGGGGAGAGGAGGGAGTGCCAACAGTGGCTGGGACATGGGAACTTATGGGTGACGTTCAGGGGCGGACTGACCACTCATGGGGCCCCGGGCAATAGGGGATCATGGGGCCCCTGTGCCCTTGCCCAAACTCAAAAAAGCCTATGAAAAAGGTACCAGGGGCATCTCATGGGGCCCCCTACTGACCCCGGGCCCTCGAGTGCCCGAGTTTCCAAATGGTCAGTCCGCCCCTGGTGACATTACCATGTCCCGGCTTTACCAACCGTTGAGTGCTCTCCTCTCCCTTGCAGCCGTCACTAGTTGATGTGAGGATCATGTGGCCAGCCCTGATAATAGGTAAGCATAGGTGTTGGGAAAGAAGGGGGCATTTTTAAGGGTAGTTGGTGCTGGGCAGGAATTCTACTTTTAAGGGCTTATTCAGTCCAGTGGCCAAAGTAAGACAGTGACTGCTGGTGTGCGCTGTGGAGGGAGCAGTGCTGTAAATGACACGTCTCACCCTTGCTTTTTTTTTTTTTTTCAACTTTGTCAAACTGGCACAAAGTGAAATGTCCTTCATCTTTCTTCACTACAGTGGGTTAAGTTGCAATACGGTGTACTACGTTGCATATGCTCCGCTGAAAATAGTACAGCATGATCGACTTTCTTTTTCAGTCCCCAGCACTGCATGCAGTGGTATGAACAGAACTAACAGAACATACCACACGTTGCTTTGTCTATGTACGCACGGCACTGAACATGGCTGCTAGTGCAGTCCATTACATATGGTGTGAATGGGTCCTAAGGGTCACCTTTCATGTTACAATCTCTGTACAATCATCTTTAGATTTACCAAACCTATGTAATTCCAAGACTATCCAATCAATTTGTAGTCAATCGGGCAGGCCCTTTGACTACCTACAAAAAATGGCCACTGCTCCTGTCTATGACTGGCCTTCATAGCAAGCTGTGAAGGCCAGTTATAGACTAAGCAGTGGCCATTTGTTGAACTGTTGGTGGGGGGTGCACTGGACACCTTGGCTACCATTGTGCTTTATGCTGAGTGTCCAGTGCGCTCCTGTACCTTTAGCAGATTGAGGGGGGGGGGGGGGGGCATCATATGACGGCACGATCTGTCTCAGGTCAACGGAACACAGCCGATGCCCTCAATCTCTCCTTAAATACATGTGCCTCTACTATGGGGCTCTGAAAATTTGTAGAATTAGGGAACTACAGAATATCGGCCCGGGTGCCGTGACGTGGCTCTGCAGCTTATGCATGTGTTTGCAAATGTGTGCTAACTAAACCCCTGTTTTAACACATCCACATCACTGTTAGACAGGACAATTCGGTTTGTTTGCAGGCTGGTTGGTAAGCTGACTGCTGGGAACGTTTCTCTTCCGTTGTTTGACCTTTGACTACATAGTTGTTGGTAGATCTGAAACTGATCGCACAATCAGATTACAATGTGTGTGCTGCGCTAAAAAAAAGTTTCTGCCTAGTGTAGGACTATCTAACATTTCAGTTGAACATTTTTAACCCCTTGACGCCGAGCCGCCGCATATTTGCGTGCAATTAAAAAAATACATATGTGCTGAGAGTGCGCGCCCTATGCGTGTTCCCAGCACATATGTCCGCTACTCACGGAAAGGTCCCGATCTCCCCTTTCGATTCGGGGACCTTTTCTGATCATGTGAGAGCAAATCATAGCGGTCACATGACCCTAAAACCCCGCCCTGCCTCCCGTGATTCTGAAACTCATTAAAGGGGCGGAAGGCATCTGCGCCAAGAGGTTAAATATTTTGTTCAAATTCACAGCCTACGCTCAGAAAATAATGGGGCTCTCAAAATATTTGAAGAATTAGGATACTTGTGTGTATTTGAGATTTGTGTGCTTGACATCCACTTCACCTCCGCCCCGCCTGATGAGCACTTCACCTCCGACTACCCCGCCTGATCCACTTCAACCTACTATGTGTGTGCGCCGCCGCATAGTGTATCATCACATTTCACCTGGACGCCCCGCCTGTATGCCACTTCACCTCCGCCCCGCCTGATCCACTTGACGCCTCCGCCCCGCCTGATCCACTTCACCTCCGCCCCGCCTGATCCACTTCATTCCGCTACTCCCGTCCCGATCCCCTGATCCACTTCACCTCCGCCCCCGCCTGATCAAATCATAGTGGTCTCTCCCCCCCCCCGCCTGATCACCTCTCCTCCGCCCCCGCATGATCCACCTCACCTCCGCCCCCGCATGTTGATCCACCTCACCTCCGCCCCCGCAATGATCCACCTCACCTCCGCCCCCCCGCATGATCCACCTCACCTCCGCCCCCGCATGATCCACCTCACCTCCGCCCCCGCATGATCCACCTCACCTCCGCCCCCGCATGATCCACCTCACCTCCGCCCCCGCATGATCCACTCACCTCCGCCCCGCATGATCCACCTCACCTCCGCCCCCGCATGATCCACCTCACCTCCGCCCCCGCCTGATCCACCTCACCTCCGCCCCCGCCTGATCCACCTCACCTCCGCCCCCGCCTGATCCACTTCACCTCCGCCCCGCCTGATCCACCTCACCTCCGCCCCGCCTGATCCACCTCACCTCCGCCCCCGCCTGATCCACCTCACCTCCGATCCACCTCACCTCCCCCCGAATGTGTTTGATACTGAAGTCACCAATTTCACTTTCTTTTTCTTCATGATAGAGCCGCTTCCATCTCTTCACCCTCACCAGCCTTTCCGTCAGTACTACCTCCAAGCTGAACACTCTGTTGTGTCTCTTGTCCAGATCCGGTGAGTCTTGTATCCAGCCTCTGCAGGATGTAATGGATATTTTGTTCATTCATGTTTTAAACGCTCGTCAGTTTTTCATGTTGGAGGTTCTTGTCACTTAAAATGTATATCCAGCCAAAATGTTTTCATAGATTTTGTGTAAAATAGGGAAGGGTGAAACCCCTGTCAGGTTTTTACTGCTATCTCTGGCTCTGACTGAAAGATTTATCCTCACTTCCTATCCTGCTGACAGTGTTTTGCCAAACAGGAAGTGAGGGGAACTCTGCAACAGGAATACAGAGAGAAATAGAATGCCTTTTTAGCACTTTTAAAAATCATTTTTCTTTCTTGTTTGTGCTGCGTTCTTGCTCTAGAATGGTGGCAGTTGGCATACCTAGAAGATCTAGAAGCCTAGAAGATAATCGGCAAAGCATAGCCCTATGTTTATAACAAAAATAGTTCTGCGCTAAATGCCTAACAGAGAGAATAAAGCAGCTGACATAAAATTGCTGGTAACAATAAAGGTAAAAGTATACAAGATGCAGCGCTTAATCGCTCATAATTGGCAGATAAAAGAAAATATTACAAAGAAAAAAAGTCCTTAAAGTGATGGTAAAGTCCTTCATATATCACATTTTGGGAGAAGGTGATGAGATGTCACAAAGAAAGGATACAGTACTTTTTGGTTCAATAGACTTCAAAGGAGACGCTGCAGAAAAGCATGCAGTGCTTTTTTGGTGCGTTTCGCGTTTTTTAATCTGCTCAACAACAAATTGCCCCCAAAAAAACAAAACCCATAAATGCAAAACGCATGAAAAAATGTGTCAAAGACTCGTGTGCAAAAACACAAAACCACCGCAAAAATCACTGTAAACTTAATCCTCCTCCATCCTCAGCCAACCATGGAGATAATTATTCTTATTATACAGTATTTATAAAGCGCCAATAGTTCGCTCAGCGCTGTACATTACAAAGGGGGACAGAACATGTGACAGAACAATACCAATACAATGCAAAACATGAGGGGATCGAGGGCCCTGCTCTTTGGAGCTTACAATCTAGGAGGGAGGGGATGTGTAGCACAGGAGGAGATAGCTGTGGGGGATGGAGTGGTAGGAAGAGTGGAGGAGATCGGCAAGTTAGCAGGGGGTGGGGTAGGCTTCCCTGAAGAGGTGGGTTTTCAGGGTGCGCCTAAAGGAGAGGAGAGTAGGTGATAGTCTGATGGGTTGGGGCAGGGAGTTCCAGAGGATGGGTGACACCCTGGAGAAGTCCTGGAGGCGGGCATGGGAGGAGGAGACCAGGGAACTAGAGAGAAGAAGGTCTTGTGAGGAGCAGAGTGTGCGTGTTGGGTGGTACTTGGCTATTAGGTCAGTGATGTAGTTCGGGGCAGTATGGTGGACGGCTTTGTACGTCAGTGTTAGGATTTTGAATTTGATCCGTTGCGCAATCGGTAAATGTCACCATTTACCCCAAAAAAGATTGATGCTGATAGCGCTCTTTGTATTCCCAGCTCTATTTTTGTTAAAAACACTAATATACCACTCACATAGACATGTGCAATGAATCTGGTGCACTTCAAAGATCACAGAATGTTTCCCTTCAAGAATACAGCCTGTCGGTACCTCTCCAAGAAGGTGTCCTGCTGATTTTGATTGTGGTGTGATGTCTTTGGGTCCTCCTGACGAGTTACATCACTAGGTCATGAGACTTCGTCAGGGGACCTTCAAAACCAAATTAGTAGTGAGAACCTACATATTGGTATCTTGTATTAATACCTAAACGCCAAGCGCACGCAAATATGCGGCCTCTCGGCATCTGGGCCTTGACGCTGAGCGGCTGCATATTTGCGTACCATTTGAAAATACATATGTGCTGCGAGTGTGCGCCCTGCGCGCTCCCAGTACATATGTCCGTGACTCACGGAAAGGTCCTGATCTCCTCTTGCAATTGGGACATTTTCTGATCACGTGACAGCGAATCACCGCGGTCACATGACCCTAAAACCCCGCCCTGCCTCCCGGCTTCTGAAACTCTTAAAGGGCCGGGAGGCGCCGGCTCAGAGGGGTTAATGAGGAAGAAATGACTATCTCGCTTTCTTTAAGAAGTAATTTTTTTTTTTTTTTTCTTTTCTTTCAGACACAAGTGGGATCAATTCTTGGCTCCACCTGACCATCCTGATGCCAGTAGTATTCCTCGTGGGTGGGTACTGCCCATGCCACCATCTAGTGAAATTTGGGCTACAGCCTTGACACAAGCAGAATGACTGAACTGTAAAAAATTGTTTGATATGTATATACTATCCGGCTGTAAACAAAGGGTAACCAGCCGGCCTGTTGTCTCCAGCATGGTTTGCAGCAACTTTCCCTCTTTCTCTTTGGGTTACATAAGAACTGAATTGAAGCAGGACTTCAATTCTATTTTCTTTAGTTGTGAAAGGTGTAGGAAAGGATCAGAAACTGTGGGTTTTGGTTTTTTGTTTTTTTTTTGTTTTTTTTCCCCACTTGTATCCCTATTTGGGAGATTTCACTCTCACTTTTTGTCCTATTGACAGATGTCGGCAGTATAAAGCTGGGTACACTGGCCAAAAAAACTGCCAAATTTCGGTGTGTACAGCTAACGGCTCGATTTTGTTGAAGAGACATGCTGGAAATCAGCATCCCATCAGCGCTTGCAACCCCAATGGGGTTAATCTAGGCATGCTAAGGAAAGCAAACTAGTCCACTTTATACTGAATGTGAGCTGATCATTGAATGTATGATAACGATGTATGATATGGTAATGGACAGTTTGAAGCAACATTTGCAGAATTATATTTATTCTGAAATGACAAAATAAAGCATGTCAGAGGTGATTTGTGGTTTTACGAAGTCTTTTAAGCTGTTTAAGGGTTTATCGCCCCTTCATTTCAGTAGTGTTTCACTGATTGGAAAGTATACATGATTAACATTTATGCAGAAGGCAGCCTCCCGTTATAATACCTTTTGTCCTCAGGGTCGGGTATTTTCCTAAGGCAGAGTGAGAAAAACTTTGTTGGGAATCTTAAAGAGTTTGTATGTTTAAAAATGAATTCCAGGTATGGATATTTAACCACTTGCCGCCCTGCCACTGTATAAATACGGCGGCAGGGCGGCACAGGCAGGCAAAACCACGTTTTAAAACGTGTGGTTTTTTAAACAGATAGGAGGCGCACCGCCGCCCTTTCTGTCCCGTCGATCACTACCGCGGATGTCAGTCGCCGGGGTCACAGCCAGTCCTTACCGGCTGTTTCCCGGCGATCGGCGGCAAACAGTGACAGACAGCACAGCTGCAGTAGCTGTGCTGTCTGTCACTTCCCTGACAGCTCTAGGACGAGCTGATCAAGAAAGAAGAGTTTCTCTCTCTCGATCAGCGGTGTCCCCTGCAGTACACACCCCGCCCCCTAGTAAAACACGCCCCTCACACAGATAACCCTTCCCTGCAAAATAAAGTTAACCCCTTCCTCCCCAGTGCCATTAGTACAGTGTCAGTGTTTTTTTTTTTTTTTTTTTTTTGCACTGATCACTGTATTGGTGTTTTTGGGGATGTCAGTGACCCCAAGTCAGTACCCCCCAATGTCAGAATGTCCGCCGCAGTCCCGCCATAAGTCGCTGGTTGCCATAAGTCACTGATTGCCGCCATAAGTCGCTGATCGCCGCCATTATTAGTATAAAAAAAAAAACTAAAAATCCCAGTATCTTTCCCGCCATTTGTAAACACTATAACTTTCACGTAAACCAATTAATTTACACGTATTGTTTTTTTTTTTAGCAAAGACATGTCGCAGAATGCATTTTGGCAGAAATTTATGACTAAATTTGATTTTTGCATTTTTTTTTTTTACTGGACATGTTTTATAGCAAAAAGTCTAAAATATTGGTTTTTTTTTTTCCCTCAAAATTGTCAGCCTTTTTTTTTTATAGCGCAAAAAATAACCGCACAGGCGATCAAATACCACCGAAAGAAAGCTCGCTTTGTGGGAAAAAAAGGATGTAAATTTAATTTATGTACCGTATTGCATGACCGCGCAATTGTCCGTTAAACTAGCGCAGCGCTGTATAGCAGAAAAATGGCGTAAGTTGCAGTATCTATACCATAGTTTGTAGACACTATAACTTCCACACAAAGCAATCAATATACACTTATTGGGATTTTGTTTACCAAAAAACATGGAGCAGAATACATTTTGGCCTAAATTTATAACCAACTTTGAGTTTACTATATATTTTTTATAGCTGAAAGTAAAAAATATTGTTTTTCTTCAAAACTTTTGGCCTTTTTTTGTTTACAGCGTGAAAAATAAAAAGCGCACAGATGATCAAATACCACCGAAAGAAAGCTCTATTTGTGTGAAAAAAAGGACGTAAATTTAGTTTGGGTGCAGCATTGCATGACCGCGCAATTATCAGTTGAATTAGTGCAGCGCCGAGTAGCAAAAAGAGCCCCGGTCATTAAGGGGGGTAAATCCTCAGGAGCTCAAGTGGTTAATACGTAGTTACGTTGGTCCAGCCTGTGGCCCGCAAGCCACATCCCTAGTCCTTTGGCTGTCCCTATCCGGCCCTCGATGCCCCCACTTGTCAGTATCACAAGCTCACTGAGGAAGCTAACAGGCTCAGAGATGAATGCTGTCAGATATCTATGTGGAGAGCTGCAAGAACTGGAAGGATAGAGCCTGAGGAGCTGATCAGTACAGCGGGGAGGCTCGCTTCTGATAGGACAGCGTTGCCTAAGAGATGTCCTAACGTTCTTCCACCACTCTGCTACCCAACCAGGGTCTTCCTGTGTTAGCAGCCTACATGCTGCTAATCCCAGGAGCCGTACGTCTGTTCTTCATGTCAGTATGTGCAGAAATCCCCACTGTACTGATCTCAAACTCATTCCAGTCACGGTGCTTTTCAGAGGGCATTTACAGACGGTGAGTAGGTGTTTTATGGCTTCCGTTCTACTTGATTTAACCCTATAATACCGTACTACCGCCTGCATGCAGTTGCGGTGCAGCCTCATTGAACTCAGTGGGCGAGTTTGACAAGCTGTGTTGCGAGTCAAACTCTGTACCCTGAGTTAAAGCAAAGTTCCACCCAAAAGGGAAAGTTCCACTCGCCCTGTCAAAAAATAAAAGTCAGCAGCTACAAAAACTATAGCTGCTGACCTTTAAATAAACAGCCACTTACCTGTACCTCGGTCCCGTGGTGTGTCCCCCGCAGCCCGTTTCACTGAGCCATCCTGTATTCCAGGAGGCCGGCATCTTCTGTGTGGGCACCCGGCTGTGACAGCATGCGCAAGTAGCGTTGCGCTTCCTGAATGGCCCTGTCGTCTTCTGGGACCTGTCACGTGTCCTACAAGACTACGCGGAGGGAGGGTAAAAGGACGCTAGGCGATCGGATGGAAGTGGGAGCGGGTACCTGTCAATTTCAGGTACTCACTCTCCAAAGGTGCCAGTCTTTAATGGGTAGCGGGGAACCAATCTTTAAAGCGGAGAGCTCCACCCAAAAGGGGAAGTTCCGCTTTAAGGACTGCTCCCCATTAAGGATTGGCATCTTTGGGGGGTGGGGTTACGGGTACCTGAATTTTTCAGGTACCCACTCCCACTTCCATCCGATCGCCTAGGCGATCGGAAGGTGTCCTCCCTCCCTGAAGTCTTGTGGGACACGTGACCGGTCCCCCAAGACGACAGGACCGTTCATGAAGCGCAACGCTACTTGCGCATGCTCAGTGGGTACCCGGCTGTGAAGCCACAAGCTGTCACAGCCGGGTGCCCACACGGAAGATGCCGGCCTCCTGGAATTCAGGATGGCTCAGTGAAACGGGCTGCGGGGGACACACCACGGGACCGAGGTACAGGTGGTACAGCCACCCACCTGAATTATAAAAAACAGACAGGACAGTTCACATGCCACGACCGCAATGCTTTGCATCGGAGCTGTGCCTTTTTAAAGTGGAGTTCCACTCACTCTGTAAATAAAAAAGTCAGCAGCTTCAAAAACTGTAGCTGCTGACTTTTAAAAAAAACAGCCACTCACCTGTCCCACAATCCTGTGTTGCCCCCGCCGCAGCCCGTTTCACTGGCCGTCCTGTATTCCAGGCGCCGGCATCTTCAGTGTGGGCACCCGGCTGTGACAGCTTGCGGCTTCACAGCCGGGTACCCACTGCGCATGCACGAGTATCGCTGCCAAGCAGCTCCCCTGCTGCATTGTCAGGTTGGCCGCTTGGCACTGGTGCCCTTCAGAGATTGCTTTGCACTTTCTCAGTGAGTCTCTAAATGGATAAAGTAGAGAACATGACAACACGTCTGCCTACTCACGTCGTCCAATCAGAGAACACTTTGCATTCATTGACATTTGCCATGCATTCCATAAATGGCGCCCTTGCCCAGCGGCAGATCTCCTGTGTTCAGAATGCAGGATGTAAGCTGCTCGGTGCAGGGCTCGGAACAAGTGGAGATCACCGAGTAGCAGTGTCTACTTCATTGATTTCCAGCTTCTAGAGATATTGGCCAGATATGGTATGTACATAGTCTAAGCTGGACCAATGTACCTATGTATAAAATGGCCATACCAGGAATTTATCTTTAACCTCTTGGCGTCGGCCGCACGAAAATGTGCGGCCTCCCGTCGTCTGGGCCTTGATGCCGAGCGGCCACACATTTGCGTGCAATTAAGAAAAACGTGCTGAGTGTGAGTGCCCTGCGTGTTCCCAGCACACGTCCGGTACTCACGGAAAGGTCCCGATCTCTTTCGATCGGGAGCTTTCCCAATCATGTGACAGTGAATCACGGTGGTCACATGACCCTAAAAACCCCGCCTCCTGGCTTCTGAAACCCTTAAAGGGCCGGCAGGCACCGGCACCAAGGGGTTAAAGTTTTGGGTTTTTTTTTTTTGTTTGTTTTTTTGCGCACTTAATGTGAAATTCCAGTTTTACCCCTAACTATAAAATTTACTTTCACTCTCATTCTATGGGTCCATGTACACTGCAGCTGATAAACTGATGTCCAGGCGCTTTTCTGCAGTTTTTTTCAGCAGCCCCTGAACTCTCCCTAATGTTTTCCTATGTGTCTGTCGTTTACAGTCTTTTTTTTTTAACGCACCAAACTTGCGTTTAGGAGTAGATTTTATCAGAGTTTCAAACACCAAACGCGTGTAAACGCGGCTAACCGCGTTTATAAGTGTTTGCGTTTAAAAGTGTTTTTTAACCCCTTTACACCGGCCGCACACAAATGTGCAGCCTCCCGGCGTCTGGGCCTAGACGCCG